CCCTCAGGTCGAGGTCTGGGAATTTGCAATGCCAGGCAGCTCAATGTCATAATTAAAAATGGGGTTAAGCTTCCTTAAATAACTTGATTAAGCAAAATTGCCTTTCTGGGCCAGGCTGCAGGCCCTGGGCTCGTGCAGCTCTGTCCAGTGATTGGAACAAGCCAGGGCAGGATCCATCCTGATGTTCCTGGGTTTATTTATAGCTCAGCCCTGGCAGAAACGGGGCCGGTGCCCTGTGGGCTCTGTCCTCTGGAGAGCACAGGGAGCACTGAGAGGAGCTTGTGCAATTAGCACGACCTCATTTCAGAGGAGCCTTTTAGACCTTAATCAATTAGTCTGGGGCAACCCCCAAATGGATCCTGGATCTGGATCTCGGTGCCTCATGCCCTGGGAAAGTGCTGAGGGCACCAATAAATCTCCAGAATATTTCAAAATCAGTTTTCATCCATAAGCAAAACCATCTCCTTAATTCCAGTCCAAACTCCTCCATGGATTCCCAGCAAGGAGGAGGATTTGCAAACCCCACAAAATGGAAATCCCCCACAAAAACCCACCAGCAGATGGGCAAATCCTGCCCTGGATCTTCAAACTGAGCCAATAATTCCCTAAGGAGAGGTTTTTCCTTTGCATCTCTGGCTGGTTTGGCCTGTGGAGGGGATTTAGTGGCTCCACAGGGAAGCCCAGGCCTGGGAAGTGTCTCACCCTTGAGGATGAGGATCTGATCCCAGTGCATCTTCCTGGGATGAGTCTGGAAGCTGCTGACTCAGCTGCTTTTAAGGCTTCCCCAGCGGAGAGGAGGCACGAATCCATTTCTCAGCAAAATGAAGGCAGAGAGAAGCTGAACAAATAAACTTGGCTTTCGTTTGAGGGCGACTGACAGCTCCCTGTGCTCGGCTGGCCCCTGGGAGAGGCACTGGAAGGTTCTGGATGCTCCAGGTCTGCCCTGCTGGGATGGGATAACCCTGGTTTATCTCAGCTTCATTCCCAGCCACAATGGGGTTTAAATTCAGCCCCATGCATCTCATTTGCTGCTTCCTTAACAGGTGGAAAAGGGTGAAAATCCATTTCCACGGGGCTGGAAAAGAGGATGGGCAGCTCCACCTGGAATTTGGGCTGCCCAAACTCCGCCTGGGCAGCAATTCCAGGCTGGCACTGGGGGGTGAAGGCTGAAGGGTTTGAGGGATGGCAGTGCCCAGGGTGCCCAGTGTCACTGGGGGTTTGTGCTGGTGTCCCTGTTTGGTGCTGGGGAGGATGTGGAGCAGCAGGAGCTGCTCTGGGATGGAGGCACACGGGGATTTCTGGTGGTCCCTGCACCCAGGTCGGTGGCTTTTAGTGACAGCATGTCCAGGGAACCTCCATGCCCTGTGTCCCACAAATCCTGCACCCCGTGGATTGGGCTCTTTTACCCCATCCCCTGTGTCCTTCCCTGCAATTCCAGGCTTGGCAGAGGCATTCCAGCATTCCCAGGGTGCCCAGAGGGGCGCAGAACCTGCTGTCCCCACGTCCTGTGGCGTGGGACTGAGGTCAGGCCCTGCGTCACAGCCCTCCCGTGGGGTCACCCCGCTGATGTCACCGCCCCTCTGCTTGCCAGCCCTATTCTCTCCCCGTCCCTGTGATAAGAAATGTTAATGAGGGGGTGAAATTGGATATTCCCGTGGCCTTCTCCTCCTAATGGAATTCTGGTGGTGGTTAATTTGCTGGTTTTAATGGGCCCTTTGTTCTCCCGGCCGGGGGGGAGCCACGTGAGGGTGTTTGGGAGGTGGCGCCTGAACCTTGGGGCTCAATAATTGCAGAGCAATTTGAAGACAAGCCCCAAATCCATAATTGATGGGCCCTTCACTCATCCCGCTCCCGCCGCTCCCGGAGCTGTTCCCACCTCTCCAGGCGCAGAGGGATGGATAAACCTGGGTAAAGCTGGCAAATTATCGAGGATTTCCTCACCCTGGGGACAGCTGACACCGCTCAGGGAGGTGGGTTGGGTGTGGAGTGATGCTGAGCCGGGTATCCCGGGGCTGGGATGAGGATTTTGGCTCCTGGTGGGATTATGCTGAGGCAGAGCTGGGTGTCCCATTGATGGATGAGGATTTTGGCTCCGGGTGGGATTATGCTGAGGCAGAGCTGGGTGTCCCATTGATGGATGAGGATTTTGGCTCCTGGTGGGATTATGCTGAGGCAGAGCCGGGTGTCCCATCGGTGGATGAGGATTTTGGCTCCTGGTGGGAGTGTGGTGATGGATGTAGGCAGGGAACCATTCCCCGGTCCCAGCTGGCCCCACATCCTGGGAAACCGCTGAGCTTTGGCTCTGGAGGGGCAGGGAGGGATTCCCCAACCCTGGCACTGCCAGCCGGGGGGGATTCTCCCAACGCTGCAGCTCCCGGGGCTGGACCCCTCCCCTGGGATGCTGCAGGGGGCTGGATCACAGCGGGTCGTACCTGAGCGGGGGCTGGCAGGTAATTCCCTGCTGGATAATTCCCTCTGTTCCCTGCTGCCCCAGCAGTTTTCCATCCAAGCAGCCGCGGGGAGGCCAGGCTGAGGCCGCTGCATTGCGCTGGCTGGGGACTGTCCCCGTTTGCTTCATTAGCTTGGATGGCAAAGTGTGTCACCACTGTCCCCCGGCCACGCCGCGGGCTGCGCTGGCACCGAGCACAGCGGGCTCGGGGATAGGATGGGACCCCTGGGGACACCGTGGCGGTGGCGGTGGGAACCAGGGGTGGCCACTCCTTCACCCCAGCGCTGCTGCACGGGGTGGATCCATCCTCAAAGCCCAGAGAGCGCTGGTGGGAAGCAGGGAATGGCGCTCTCGGTGGTTCCTGCATCCCTCAGCTCCCGATACCGCCCGTCCCAGCTGATACTGGGAGCGCTGGTGTCCGTACTGGGAGCACTGGTGCCGGCCCCCCCTGCCGCCCCCGGGAGCCCGGAGCCGAGCCCATTATCTGCTCCAGACAATTAGCAGAAGCATTAATGGAATATATGCAAATGCGCAGTAATTGACCTGTGACTCCGCAGTTCATGATGGAGAAGGATGAGCTCCAGATGGCTTAATGAGAGTAATTTAAGCCCCTTCTTTATATTCTGTGCCAGAGCCTGGCAGCGCCCAGGGAGGGGAGGAGGGGAGGTGGCACTGGGGACACTGGGGAGCAGGGACAGCCCTGGGGACGCTCCCTTTGCTCCCCAAACCACCCCGAGTGCAGCTCCTATCGCAACCTCGGGAAGGAGGATTTGTTCTGGAGACGCGAGAGCCAGAATTCCTGGTCAGGGAGTGCAGGGGAGCAGCCAAACACCCCCGGGACCACCGGGCTGGGGGCTGCTCTGCCAGCATGACCATGGTGGTGCCACATCCTGCACATGGAAAACCCAAACTGCTGCTACTCCGAGGTTACTCAGCCTTTACTCCAGCTGTGTTGGGGAGGGCTGGTTAGGGGTTGTGCCCTTCCACTGCTCTGCCCCAGCCTCTCCAGCCCTGAGCTCCACAAAATTCCCGTGGCAGAGCCGGAGGTATCTGAATAACCACTCTGGGAAACCAAATTAAAATATTGATGTATAATTCATGCCATATGTTCCACCAATCTTTTTTATTTAATCAACTGAAGACAGATGGCAGGAACATAGAGGCCATTAAACTAATGGCACTTTGTCTTTCCATTTATTTCCGTCTCCTTTCCTAAAATAAGAGGAGACCGTGACAGGCAGCACACCCTGGGCACTGGGATGTGTCAGCAGGGGCATTTCCCACGTGGCATTTTCCCAGAAAAGGCTGGAGCAAATCTTCCATAGCTGGGGGGGTTGGAAGGAGAGAAATCCAGCTGGATTTATAGGGCAATCCATCCTGGTGGGGCTGGAGGGGACTGTCCCATCTCTGCCCTTCCCGTGCCAAGGGCCACCAGGGATGGTCCTGGTGCTCCTGGGACAGCACCATCCTGGTGGCAGGGTGGGAATGCCACCAGGGGATGCTCCTGGATGGAAGATAGAGGATGTCATGGCAATCTCCAGTCCCTGGGGACATGAGGAGCTGGAGGGACACCCAGCGACGTCGTGCTTCTGCCCCTGTGGGATGCTGGAATATTGACTGGGATATCCATGCACTGCCCATGCATGGATTTCACTTGGGCTCTGCTGCTGCAGAGATGTTTGGATCTCGGGGTGCAATGTGTGTGTGTGTGTACAGCTCATCCTCCTGGGGGTGAAACTGTGTGAAACTGGAAATTTTCCCTGTCCCAGAGCCATCCTGGATCACCTCTCCTGCACGACAAGGCAGAGACGTGCAGGCTCTGGGATTGGGGCTCACCCCACCAGCACCGCTCCCACTGCACCCAGTTACCCACCTGCGAGAGGTGGGACTGCCCCTCCTCGGGGCTGGAAGGTGATGAAGACCGCAGGTGGCCTTCCTCACGGCCTGGAGGGACAGGGCCACCATCCTCCCGTGTCCCGGGACGCTTTCCTGAGTGCGCCTCTCTCTCTCTTTGACTTGCAGGTGGAGATTTCTTGCCCTGGGAGTGAGCTGAAAGAGGTTTCCTTACACAAAGGCTCCCAGGCAGCATTCCAGGCTCCAGGCGCGTCCAGGCACCTTCCATTCTTTGTCTGAAAGGGCAGCGGGGCCGTTCCCATTCCAGCGATGCCTGACGGGGCCGGTGCCGCCGGGAGCGAGGAGCTGCGGCAGCTGATCGGCTTTCAAATCACCTCCAAACCTCGATTTCCTTAACATGATCCCTCCATCAGCGCAGTCGCCGGGGCACAGCCGGGCAGGAGAATAACCCGGGGCTGGAGGTGACAGCCAGCGCTGGAACACCCCGGCCACCACGCGGGGACTCAAAATCCACCTTCCCCAGCACTCCAAGACTTTTTTAGGGTCGGGCAACGGCTTTGCACGACCTCGCCCTGCAGCCCTCACCCCGTTTACTCGCCGGGATTCACCTCCAGGCCAGGCGGGATAATCCCATCCTCGGAGCATCCCCGGAGCCGCAGAGCAGCTTCCCCGCGGCGCCGGCTGCCGGGGAAGGGATGAAGACGCTATGGCCAAGCTTTTGCTGAAACTCCAGCGGTATTTTCGGCGCAAACCCGTGCGTTTCTTCACTCTGCTGGCTCTGTACCTGGCGGCGGGGAGCTTGGTTTTCCTGCACTCCGGTTTCTCCGGGGAGCCCACGGTGCCGGGGAGCCCTCGCAGCCCCGCGGCCGCCGAGGGGCCGGGGCTGCCCTACCTGGGGGTGATGCAGCTCAGCCGCGGCTTCAAGGCGGCGGCCACGATGCCGGCGGGGGGCCGACGACACGGGCCCTGGTTCAAAAGCACCTCCAAGGAGCCGTCGGACAGGGGAAAATCCCGGGATAACGGCGGCCCCCGGAGCCGGGCGCTCCGGGGCAGGAGCGGCCGCGAGAAGGAGGAGGACAGAGGTGGGTCCCTGCTTCTGCCTCTCCATGGGGGCATCACGAGTTGGGGAAGTGGTGTCTGGGCTAGACAGGACCACAATTCCCCCCCCAGGAAATGTGTAATTATTTATTTGTTTATTTATTAATTTATAAACCACATGCATGCGCTGCTGGAGCACCGAGGTTTTCTTCCCCCATCCCACGGGGATGCTCTGGGGAGCAGCATCCCACTCTGGAGAACATCAGTCCAGAGAATATTTCCAGAAGGATCTTCTCCCTCCCTCATTCCTCTCCTCCCTCCCCAAGTGCCAATAATGTGCTTTTATTTTTCCATCTTCACTCTTTCCCCCTGGTGCATCACTGAGCCCCCCCTTGCTGTTACAGGCGATTTTGGGGGTGGCAGCTGTGCCCCATCTTCCTCCCACCCTTTGGCTCTGCCAGGGGCCAAATTCAGTTTTCATTCTGTTGGCCTGAATCAACCCAAAGTCCAGGTTTGTGTGGGTGTTGTGTCGAGGCAGGGGCTGGCTGTGATTCCCATGGAAGTGCAGACAGGGCTGGGCTGTGGCCCCTGGAGCCAGGAGATCCCTGCCTGGCTGGGGTCTTGTCAAGTGGATTCATTATTAATGGTCAAAGATGAGAAAATGGAATGATTCCCATTGATTTTTAAAATGGCATTTACTTATCCTGAAGGCAGCCACAGCTGTGCATTCTGTGGGATTTGGGTGGCTGGACTCCAGCAGGAAACCCCAAACCCACAGCAAAATGGGGCTTTCCCAGGGGTCCAGGCTTGATCCCCCCAACTTGGGCTGCTCCCAGGGCATGGAGGGCTCCTCCTCCTCCTCCTCCAGCAGGACGTGGTTTGTTCATTCCAGGAATGATGCATGGTCCAGGCATGGAAGCCAAAGGAAAAGTGCTGCTCACAGGATTTTGTCCTGCTAAAAGGAGCTGAAGGGGTTCCCCCATTGTGACCCCGCTCTGAGGGGTCTCTGGGGTGTTTTGGTCTCTCTCTTAAGGCAAACTGACTTCAGTGCAGCCTCAGCAGATGGTCCCTGAGCCCAGGCTGTCTGTCCCTATAAAGACCCCAAGCAGTGCCCGTGTCCCAGGCCATATGTGCCAGGTGCTCCAAGATTAACCTCATCCAGCACTGCCAGCAGGGATGGGATGCTGGGCCTGGGATTCCTAGGTTTATCTGCTCCCAGCTGCTCTGGGAATATTTTTTTCCCCTTGGAGCATCTTGGCTCTCCTGAGTGGGATGGTGTGGAGAGAAATTCAGCACTTGAGGAATCTCACGTGCCCGGTGTTCCTGGTGTGGCTGGCAGAGCTGCCCTCGCTTCCCTGCTCCTCTGGAGCACTGGGATCTCTGGCAGGAACAGGTGGATTTAATGGTGTTGGTAATTAAGTGGGGACAGCTTAACGAGGTGGTTGTGGAGGCTCTGCCACGTGAAATCATTCCAGAGGGAATTCTGCTCCAAAAATCAGCTCTGGTTTAGAGCGTGATGTGCAGCTCCCTCTTCCTCCTCTTCCTCCCTCTCTCGGCTGTGTCAGGTGAAGGTGTGGGTGGAGAACAGCCCTGCCTGCCAGGGAATGGCCTCATCCCCATGGGAATGCAAATCCCTGTGGGAAGGGGCATCTCCTGCCTCCAGCCAGGGTGGATTTTTAGGCAGTGAAGCCAAGGGAACCAGGAACAGACCCCAGCCCTCAGCCACATCCATCTCTGGTGCCTTCCCGGACAAGCCCAGCCCATTCCCACCTGTGATACACAACCAAGCAACTCCATGAGGATGCAGGGAGCAAACACCCCAGGCAGGGAGCTGGAGCCATCCCTGTATCCCCAGCTCTGGGAAAAATGGGGTGCTTGGGGAATTTAATGGCAATCACTGGGCAGACGTGTGTGTCTGCTCACAGCTGTGTTTCCAACAGGCTCCAAAATTCCTCCTGGAGGTGCCCACCTCTCCCTACAAACTGCCAGTCCCACCCTCCTCCTTCTCTCATGTCCTTGTCTGTCCCTAATTATTCCAGCTGGCCTCCCAATAAGTGGCAGCACGCATATGTCAGGAGCACTGGGTTGAAGGTAATGCACATCAGTCACTGGATCTGTGCAAATGTCTGGAGCCATCCCACACCCACTGGAATCCTCTGACCTGCCAGGACCTGCTCATCCCTGTGGGAATGCTGTGTGGAATAACTGGGAGTGATGGCTCTGCTAGTTGGAGTTACCTGGGACATTTCTCTCCATCTTCCTCCTCTTTGGCCTCCAGGCTGGCTTGGGAAGGTGGCTCCAGCACTGGTGGGGTCTGTGCTGTGCTGGGATAATTGGGAATGGGGGGGTCTGTGCCACCATGGATGGGGTGAGGTGGCTCAGGGACCCCACGGAGGTGTGGAAAGCAGGGGGGAGGCGAAAAGTGTTATCCCAGAATGTGGCTTGGAATTGGAGTGGCACAGTGAAAGAAATTCCTTCCTGTGAGGATGGGCAGGCTCCGGCACAGGGCGCCCAGAGAAGCTGTGGCTGAAACTGTCCAAGGCCAGGCTGGACAGGGCTTGGAGCACCCTGGGATAGTGGAAGGTGCCCCTGCCTGGTTTGGACCCAGAGTTTCCAAGGCAAACAAACAGGGAATGCTGCTGCACATCCCTATTCAGGAAAAAACCCAAGCGGGGTGGGATCAGTGAGGTGTGACCCTGTCCCCTGTGTGTCCCCAGCCCAGTACATCGGCTGCTACGAGGACAACACCCGGCAGAGGACCCTGCGCGGGATGTCCTTCTTCGACTACAAGAAGATGACGGTGTTCCGCTGCCAGGACAACTGCGCCGAGAGGTGGGGACAGGGACAGGGCCTCCATGGATCCCAGCACCCCATCTCCAGCAATCCTTTCCCGCCATCTCCATGAATCCCTGCACACTGTCCCTCCCAATCCCTGCACACCAGCTCCATCAGTCCTTTCCATGAATCCCTGCACACTGTCCCTCTCAATTCCTGCACACCAGCTCCATCAATCTTTTTCCACCACCTCCATGAATACCATCAATCCTTTCATAGGATAGGATGGGATAGGATAGGATGGGATAGGATACGATAGGATGGGATATTTTCAGTGGCAAGTGCCCCTAAAGGATCATTAACCCAAAAACCTCCCATTAACTGGGAGGCACTGCTGATCCCAGCACTGGCCATAAGCAGAAATGCTGAATGGAATGGAATGGAATGGATGGAATGGAATTAAATTATCTGATATTATATTATATGATGAATTAGGATATGATAGGAAAATAGGGTAGGATAGGAGATAGAATGGAGTGTAGTAACAGGATAGAACAGACTAGGAAAGAATAAGGATAGGATAGGAAAGAATTGCAGAATGGGATGGAATATTGGATAGGATAGGATAGGATAGGATAGGATAGGATAGGATGGGATAGGATAGGATAGGATAGGATATTTTCAGTTGGAAGTGCCCTAAAAGGATCATTAGCCCAAAAACAAATCCCTGGGATGCACTGCTGATCCCAGCACTGGCCATAAGCAGGAATGCTCCATGGAATGGAATGGATAGGATAGGGTAGGTTAGAATAGGATAGGATAGGATAGGATAGGATCGGATATTTTCAGTTGGAAGTGCCCTAAAAGGATCACTAACCCAAGAAGGAATCCCCGGGGTGCGCTGCTGATCCCAGAAAAGCAGCAATGCTCCTCCCAGCCCCCCTGGAGCCGGGGGGGATGTGCTGAGACCCCGTTTCCCCTGGGCAGGGGGTACCTGTACGCGGGGCTGGAATTTGGGGCCGAGTGCTACTGCGGGCACAAGATCCAGGCATCCAACGCCAGCGAGTCCGAGTGCAACATGGAGTGCAAGGGAGAGCGGAGCAACACCTGCGGCGGGATCAACCGGCTCTCCATCTACCGCCTGGAGCTGGCCCAGGAATCCGCCCGCAGGTGTAAGTTGGGGGCTGGCCCCAGCTCAGCCCTGGGATGGGGGGGAATTCTCTTGGTGCTGGAGGGGTGATCCTGGCCTTCCCGAGCCAGGTTGTGGCTCCGTGGAGGTTTTTGGAGAGCGGTTCTTGAGTCCTGGGGTGGTTTTGCTGCTGCAAACATCAGGAATCTCCTTGTGGGGAATGCTGCTGGCTGGGGTTGGGTGGAATGAGGAGCCTCAAGGACTCCTGCTGGGATTCAGGGAATTTTGGGAGGCTTTGGATGGAGGTTTCTTTCCCCATGGCCAAACAGGACCGTCAGTGTCTCCTGCGTGTGCTGCAGGATGAAGGATGTGTGGGAATTCCAGGCAAGGCTGAGGGTGCTCCCTTGTTTGGCTCCCAATTAGGCAGCTCTATAATCACCCACATTCCCTGCTCACCTTTCCTCATACCCAAGGAATGGGAAAGAGGATGGCAACAACCAGGAATGCACAAGGGGCTGAGGGTTCCAAGGACCTGGGATGGGATTCCAGGCCTGACCAAACCTGGCCCCGCTTTCCTCCCTGGCCCTGCCCCTGCTCCATCCCTGGGATCATGGAGCTGATAAAAACAGCCAGGAAAATAAAATATCCCTGACTTTGCTGCTGGGGTTTTGCTCTGATTGTGACTGCACTGCTGGAGGGGCTAGGAGCCGCTGGAGCAGTTGGGAATGCCGTGTCACACAGAGTGGCAGCAGTGTCATTTTTGGAGTGTCACCGGGGCCTGTCTCTGTCTCTCTCTCTCCCAGATGGAAGCGCGATATTCCGGGGGTGCTTCCGCCGGCCGGAAAACGTCTCCATCGCCCTGCCCGCCAGCCAGCTCATGCTCAACATGTCCGTGGATAAATGTGTGGATTTCTGCACAGAGAAGGTACTGGGATAAACTCCTCTTCTTCTTTGTTTCCATCATCATCATCATCAGAGTCACACCGGGAGATCTGAACCCAGTTTAGGAACATCATTTATCAAAAAAAAGGGATAAATGGATTTGTGTCCCTGCCACGGGAGGGAGTGGAGCCAGACCTGGGACAGTTTGGGAATGAGCATCCCAGAATTAGAGTTTAGGTTGGAAGAGACATTTAAAGGAGCCTCATGGGGTCCTGCTCTGTCCAGGGGTCTCATCCTGGGGCATGGTGCCTCTGAGCAGGGGGGAAAGATTGGGAACTGATGGAGGGTGGATGCTTGAGTGGGCTGGAAGGATGCTGGAAGTGGTCTGGAATGATACTGGGATTGGAAGGATGCTGGAAATGGTCTGGAATGATGCTTGAAATAGGTTGGAAGGATGCTGGCAATAAGGCAGATGATGCTGGAACTGGAAGGATGCTGAAAAGGGCTGGAAGGAGGCTGGAATGGGATGGAATGGGCTAGAACAACACTAGAATTGTCTGGAAGGATGCTGGAATTGGAAGAATGGTGGAATGGTCTGGAAGGATGCTGGAAATGGGCTGGAAGGATGTTAGAAATAAGGTGAAAGATGCTGGAGTTGGAAGGATGCTGGGATGGTCTGGAATGGTGCTGGAAATGGAAGGATGCTGGAATGGTCTGGAATGACGCTGGGATGATTGGAAGGATGCTGGAAATAGTCTGAAATGGTGCTGGGATTGGAAGGATGCTGGAAATGGTCTGGAATGATGCTGGAAATTGTCTGGAATGGTGCTGGGATTGGAATGATGGTGGAATGGTCTGGAATGATGTTGGGATGTTCTGGAAGGATGTTGGAATTGGAATGATGCTGGAATGGTCTGGAAGGACATTGGAGTGATGCTGTAATGGTCTGGAAGGGTGCTGGAATGTTCTGGAAGGATGTTGGAATTGGAATGATGCTGGAATGGTCTGGAAGGGTGTTGGAGTGATGCTGTAATGGTCTGGAAGGGTGCTGGAATGTTCTGGAATGTTCTGGAAGGATGCTACAGACCACCCCGCGCTGCCAGGCAAGGGTGGGCGCAGGGGCGCGAAGGCCCTGCCGCGGCTGGGGGGCGGTGCCAGCGCCGTTCCCTCTGCCCATCCCGGCAGGAATTCCCGCTGGCAGCGCTGGCGGGCACCACGTGCCGCTGCGGCTTCCCCAGCACGCTGTTCCCGCTGCACGAGCGCGAGGACGAGCAGCTCTGCGCCCACAAATGCGCCGCCGAGGAGTTCGAGAGCTGCGGCTCCGCCGAATTCCTGCTGGTCTACCAGACACAAGTGCAGGGTGAGCTTCTCCCCCCCCCCAAAAAAATGAATTTTCGTTCTCCTTCTGAGGATGAAAATGCATTATAAAGGTCAAAATTCCCATTTTGAGTGAGTAGAAGGGTGTGACGGTGTTCACAGGGGTCCGAGGATGAGGGGAGAGACAAGGATCTGAATCCATGTTTCAGAAGGCTTGATTTGTTATTTTATGATATATATTATATTAAAACTATACTAAAAGAATAGAAGAAAGGATTTCATCAGAAGGCTAGCTAAGAATAGAATAGGAAAGAATGATAACAAAGGCTTGTGGCTCGGACTCTCTGTCCGAGCCAGCTGGGCTGTGATTGGCCATTAATTAGAAACAACCACATGAGACCAATCCCAGATGCAACTGTTGCATTGCACAGCAGCAGATAACCATTGTTCACATTTTGTTCCTGAGGCCTCTCAGCTTCTCAGGAGAAAAAGTCCTAAGGAAAGAATTTTTCATAAAAGATGTTTGTGACAGAAGGGAGACTTCTACTCACTCACCTTCTTCCCTATGGCACTGTTCGTATCGTGATCTATCCTGCAATTTGCAGCATGATTTGCCTCAAACCCTTACATCACCAAATTCCTCACTTGCCTACTATTTTTCCTAATTGCAATACTCATCCTAATCCTTGCCAACAAACCTCAGTGTGAGGATCCCATTAAAAATGAGCGGGTTTTAATTCCCCTGGGAAATCAGCGCTCCCCTGGTGAGCTGTGGCTGCTGCCTGGCTCAGCTGCAGGGCACAGCAGATTCTGCCTCTGGCAGGATTCCTCCTTCCCAGGGTTTCCCCACCTCTCTGTGATCCCACGGGAGTCTGCTATCCAGACATGCTCCAGGGAAAAAAGTGGGGTGGAAAAAAGGCTGTGACCAGGCAGAACATTCCCAAGAGAGCAGTGAGCCAGGGAAGCACTGGGAGAAAGGAAAACCATTCCTGGGAGAGGAAAGGGCTGAAGGGAGCAAGTGAGAACCTAAATTCTGGTGGTTTTGGTCAGTCTTGTCACAATCCTTTGGTGTTTGGGGCTGTGCTGGAAATGCTGTTCATTGATTCATCCAAAAAGCAGGAGCGTTTCTTGGCACAGGAATCCCTGTTAGTCACTCTTCCCTAAGCACACAGAGCTGGGAATGACAGAGAACTCTTGGGAAAAATCCTCTTAGCACTTTTTGGGTGTTTGGGACTCTTTGAGGTGTCCAGAACCCTTTGGGATGTCCCTCTAAGCCTTAGACAGGGCCCCTATTCCCGGCCCAGCCCCTTCCCCAAGGTTTTCCCGGGAGAGGCGGCGTTTCCTCAGACATCCCAGTGGGACAAGCAGATTTCCATGACACATTCCTGACGTGTCTCCCTGCAGACAACCGCTGCATGGACAGGAGGTTCCTGCCCAGCCGTGCCAAGCAGTTGGTGGCCCTGGCCAGTTTCCCTGGAGCTGGGAACACCTGGGCCCGGCACCTGATCGAGTTGGCCACCGGCTTCTACACCGGCAGCTACTACTTTGATGGCTCCCTGTACAACAAAGGTGAGGGGAGGGCACTCCTGGGCTGCCACCCCAGCTGGGGACAGTCCTGGTGACATCCCCGGGGCTGCAGGAAGGGCGGAGCAGGGCTGGGTGTGAGCGCTGCTGCTCCATGGGGTGGTTTGGGGTGGAGTGTCCTGGTGAGGGAATTCCTCCCTGGGAGGGTGGGGAGGTCCTGGCAGGGACCAGCCCAGAGAAGCTGCGGCTGCTCCATCCCTGGGAGCGCCCAAGGCCAGGCTGGACAGGGCTTGGAGCAACCTGGGATAGTGGAAGGTGTCCCTTTCCAAGGAGGTTGGAATGAGAGGAGCTGTAAGGTCCTCTCCAGCCCAAAGCATTTGGGGATTCTGGTTCTAATAACCCACCCCATTCCCAGCTCCCCCAGTTTAGAACCACTCACAACAGTTTCACCTGGACACCTTGAAGGTTTCTCCTGTCGCTCCTTCACTTTTTGTGGCTTTGAGAGGAAATTCTCCATCCCTGCTCAGCTGTGGTGGAGCTGGGATCTGTATCTGTGCCATGTGGTTGGTGGGGTCTGTACCCAGACTATTCCCTAAATTTTCCTGACATTCCTTCCCAATTCCTGCCAAATCCAGCCTTGCAGGAGGGAGATGCTCAGTGAGGGAGCACTGTCCCAGCCCCCAGGGTGCAGCAGCATCCCAGGGAAGGCAGCAGCAGCGGGAAAAGCCTTGGCTGGGTTTTGCTGAGCCACACGAGCGTGGGCTCCGTGTTCATTCCCTGTTGGAGGGGCCAGGAGGTATCCAGGCAACCAGCAGATTTATCCACTGCTGAGAGCCAATTACACCTCTCTAATTGATGGAATACAGCTCCTTCCAGCTTATCCCCCTCTCCAGGTGCATTCCAGGGGCTGGGATTGATGCTGGCTCAGCCCCATGCTCAGTGCAGGGTCCCCTCTCTGGACCCCCCACGGCATCACCCCCACCTTGGGCTGATGTGCAGCCCCACAGGCACAAGGATTTCCCCTTCTTTATTTATTAGAGGTCTCTTCCAACCTCATTATTCTGTGATTCTGTGATTACTGGGAGAGGTTTCAGCTGTGCTCAGGGAGGTTATAGCCATTAAATCTGCCCTTGACCCCTCAGAACAGGCACAAGAACTGAGTGTGGCCAGGGAGATGTCACCCTGAGAGGCCCCTGTTCCTGTGAGCCACCCACTCATCAATTTTATGAGACTCATAACATGGGAAAATAAATGATTTCCATCTGGGAGAGGGATGCAAATCCTCCTTCACGCCCCAGCTGCTTTCATCATCCAACTGGATTTTGCAACCTGATATCCCTGTGATGCTCCCTTTCATGGAGCCCTGGGATCCTTTTGGTTGGAAAAGCCTTCTGAGGCTGAATCCAACTGTTCCCCCAGCAGTGCCAAGGCCACCACGTCCCCAGGTGCCACATCCACACGGCATTTAAATCCCTGCAGGGATGGGAGCTCCATCACTGCCCCGGGCAGCTGTGCCAGGGATTGATCATCTTTTGGGTGGGGATATTTTCTTTTATATCTCATCCAAACCTTGCCAGCACAGCCTGAGGCCATTTCCTTTAATCCTGCCTGGTTTCCCCTGGGAGCAGAGCCTGACTCCCCCTGGCTGTCCCCTCCTGTCAGGGATTTGTGCAGACCCAGAAGGTCCCCCCTGAGCCTCCTTTTCCCCAGGCTGAGCCCCTTTCCCAGCTCCCTGTTACTCCCACTAATCCCAGCTCTATCCGGGCAGGATTCAAGGGCGAGCGGGACCACTGGAGGAGTGGGAGGACCATTTGCATCAAGACCCACGAGAGCGGGCAGAAGGAGATCGAGTCCTTCGACTCTGCCATCCTCCTCATCCGCAACCCCTACAAGGCCCTGATGGCCGAGTTCAACCGCAAGTACGGGGGCCACATCGGCTTCGCCGCCCACGCCCACTGGAAGGGCAAAGGTAGGGCAGGGAACCCTCTGGGAATTGCCTGGGAAAGCCCAGCAGAGCTGGAGTTGGGTGTGCATGGGAGAAATCTTGGGCTGTGCCACCATTTTGGGGACACTTCTTGGTGTAAGCGTCGCCTCTTGGTTGTGGGTTCCTGTGTTGGGTGGGATAAGAGGGGAAGGGATGGAACAGGACAGCAGGACCAGGCAGGGATGGGCATCTCCTGTCCCCAGCCCATCCCTGTGGTTTCCAGGTGTTATTTCCATGTGTCCAGCTGCTCCCCAGCCACCACCTTTCCCACGCACAGGCGCGTGCCAGAGGCTGCTTAATTACAGCAATTTCCAAATTGCTGTTGTGGGATTGACTTCATTGGAAAGAGTTAAAATGTTTAGCTTGATTGAACATCTGCTACCCTTAATTCCGAGTTTATTTAAGGGGAGCTTTGGCTGCTGTGGCTGGGATGTGCCTGGATTTCGTTATCTCCATGTGCTCACAGTGCTGGGCACAGCCCAGCCCTGCTCTCCCCATCCCATAAAACCAGTGGGGTGTGGTGTCACCCACTTCCTCAGCCAGTGTCTCTGGGCTGGCACTGTCCTCACTGAGGTGGCACAGAGCCTCTTGGTTGATTTTTTTCCCCATCCATTTGTGGATAGAGCCAGGATTGGTATCCCAGCATCACAGGGAGCCTCCTGAGCCTTCCCAATCCCAACTCCCTCCCCAGCCTGTCCCAGGCTTCGTGTCTGGGAGGGGACCATGCTAGCACAGCCTTGTTTGGATGCACTTCAAATACATCACCAAATTCTTTCCAGAGGATGTGTGGAGTAATTAGGGTTAATTGTCAGGTTAATTAACCACTACTGGGAAAGATGGAGATTTTCCATTGCATGGTTGGGGACCCCATTCCCAGCTGGAGAGGCTCCTGAACACGGAGCTTGAGAGTCCCATTCCCAGCCTTCCCTGCAGCCCAGCTCTCCAAATTATTTTTTTCTCCCAAGAACTAATTTTGGGGCAAATTTGGGAAAAAAACCCCCGGGCCCTCTCTCCAGCCTCACCCCCAGTGCTGAGGGGGTGTTTTCCCATTTCTCCCAGCCCATTCCCAGCCCTGCAGAGGCCAAACCCCTGTTTGGTTCCGTGGCATTAATTTTACAGCGTCCCTGGAGCGGCTCCAAAGCAAAGTTTTATGTGCTGTGATTACACAAGGTGAATTGTCCTGGATCTGTTTAATGGAACACATCCTGTGGTTAACGATTCCTCAGGGAATTTAACCCAGTCCAGCTGTTAATCAGGCCTTGGTTTTGTGGGGAGGACACGAGGAGGAGGGAGATGCCTGGAGCTTTAATGCAGCGCTGCCAGGAGAGAGGCGGCTGATTATCGGTGTCTCATCATCCCTCTCACCACCTGATTTGAATGGCAGGATCAATTAGCCAGAAGGTTAATTGAGATGTTCCAGCAGGGATGGGAGAGGACACAGGGAACATCCACTCACATCTGTTGGAACCCTGGATGCTGAGAATTTTAAACTTTCTGTGCCGAAAGGCACAGACCCCCAAGAGAACACTGCATTTGACCTGGGGCTTCCAAAATTGATTAACAGCACTGGGATTATGCGTGTGGAGTTGGTTAGAAGTGTGTGAAAAAACTTAGATTCGGGGATTTAGTATATGGTGATATATGGGAGCCAAGATGGAGGATTTTGGGCGTGGGTGTCTTTTTTGCACCTTCTTCTTCAGGAATCTGGGTCGTTTTCTTCTCGGAGTCTCTGTGGTCAAGATGACCCCGAGGTGTTAGAAAGTCTCTTTTCCCAGCCCTGAGATCAAAGAAGGAGTCAGGATTCTTTGGCTGTGGTTTTCAAAGTTGTTTATTTTCTGTTTTCTGTAACATTCCTGTTCTGACCTGCTGAGGTCTGTCTAGCAAGTCAGTCCGTGGCACACTGACCGCCTTCAGGCCGGTGTTATTTTTTATACTAAAAACTTCCTGTACATTATTTACCATTATAATTTTCCAATACCTATCACCTATATTAGAGAGTTTGTCTCTAAAGCAATCCAAAAGTGCCACCATTACAGCAGAAGATGGAGGCTAAGAAGAAGAAGGAGAAAGACAGAACACGCCCAGATTCCTTCATCTTGCCTCCTGAACCCCTATTCTAAAACCCCCAAAATTCTACGTTTTTCAATCTGTGATAAATTCACTATCATCTACTCAAATTCCTGTGGCTTGTACATCTTCCTACAAAGCTGGTAGTTTTTTCCATGGGTTAAAATCAAAAGCACAGGTGTCTTTGACTCCATGCCAAGGTCTCCAAGCCCCCTGCCAGGGTCCCGAGTCCTCCAGGGCAGCCAGAGGAATGTCCTGGGCTCCAACATTTTCTCCAACTGGCTGAAATCCCAACACACATCCCCTTCTCCTTTTTTTTTCCCCCCAGAATGGCCGGAATTCGTGGCCAATTATGCCCCGTGGTGGGCAACCCACACTCTGGACTGGCTGCGCTACGGCAAGAAGGTGCTGGTGGTGCACTTCGAGGACCTCAAACGCGACCTCTTCGTGCAGCTGCAGAGGATGGTGGCCCTGCTGGGTGTCACGGCCTGTGAGGACAGGCTGCTGTGTGTGGAGGGACAGAAGGATGGCAACTTCAAGCGCTCGGGGCTGAGGAAGCTGGAGTACGACCCCTACACGGCCGAGATGAGGAAGGCCATCAGCGGCTACATCCGCACCGTGGACGCCGCCCTGAAGCTCCGCAACCTCTCGGGGGTCCCTGAGGATTATTACCCCAGATGATGGTGACCACAGCGGGGGGATGGTGCCCAGGGGTGGCTCTGTCCTCCCAGATTCTGCCTAATTCCACCCAGTGGGTGGCTCCTCTTTTAACCCTCCATGTGCTGCTGTAGCTGTCGGTCACTCCCTGCATGAGCCGCCGCAGGTCCCCAGCCGCTGCTGAGCTTTTTTTTTTGGCCAACTTGGGGACACAGGTGCCCTCCCTGCTTCCCCCGGGGTCCCCTGCTCCTGTTCTGGCTGCCCCAGCCCTCCTGGGAAGGGCAGTGGGATGTTTGTGTCCCCTCATGCTCTCCTGGGGACATCGAGCTGCTCAGGCTCTGGTGTACCCAGAGCTGAGCTCCTTGGGGTGGGTGTCCCCAAAATCCCAGCCCTGCAAGGATTCCACTTGTCCTTGGATGGAATCTTCAGCCTTCCCAAGGGAGGATGGACCAAGGGTGTGGCACTCTCGCAGATCCTGCCTGAGGTTATGGGATGGCAAGGCCATGCTGTGCACTGTCCCCAAACCTGGTGGCCCATGGAGCCATCCTGTGGCTCCCTGAGGATTCCCTGGAATTCCCCAGCCACAGCACCAGGCAAAGTTGCTGCTCCAGCCCTTGCGGGGGCCCATGACCCCCACCAGTGCGGCTCCAGCTGGAAGCTCCCCTTCCTTGTGGATGCAGCTCCAGAGGGGGAAGATTTCCCTGGAGCTGCTGGGACCCACGAGCTCATCCAGGCCTTGTTTCAGAGCCCATGAGCCAGATCATCCCCTCAGGAGCATTTCTGGGGGGCCAGGAGCAGTTTAGGGGAATAGGAGCAGGGTCCACACTGCACCCAACCCCCGTGGGGAGCAAACCCTGGGGCTGAGCTTTGGGCTGTCCCAAAGCCAAACCAAAGGATCCCACACACCGGGAATGTGCCCATTTCCCGGCTGGCTTTGTGCACAGCTGCATGTGGTCCCTGGCTGTCCCCTCATCCCACGCCACCCTCCCCATCCTGGCTTTGTCCCAAACGAGCTCCCCAAAGCTCCCAACCCGCAAAACCCCTTGGATGTAGGTGCAAAAGCCATATATTGTACGCAGCCTTTTCTAGAGTTGGAGATTCACCAGTTGGCTTTTAACTCTTGATCCTGATAGAAATGCAGGCACAGGTCGAGTCCAGAGACCCTGCTTGGTCTCTATTCCAAGAGAGAAGAAAACCCCCTGGAGAAAAAAGGAGAATTTCAATAAAAATCTATTTTTCTAATGTGTGTGTGGAGCAGAGCTGGGCTGCTCCTTGTTTTTTTCTTTTTGAAGGAGGTGGGGGATTGCGATCAGAGGGAGCAGCTGCCCCATTTTTAACTCTTTTTAACTCTTTTTTAACTCTTTAACTCTTCCCTTGACACACAGCTGGAGGTTCTTTTGGGATTCATGGCAGTGGGATTGGAGCTGAGCCCACTTTGCTCATGGCAGCCCCGGGTTTGTCATGTCAGAACAGACCCTCAGGGTAACCCAGCAATTAAAGGAGAGGTTTCATTGCTCCTCTGCCTCCCTGTGTGTTCGTGGGACCACCTGAGCACTCCCAACTCATCCCAGACAAGGGCTGTGGGAGCAAGGGGAGAGCAGCTCCTCTCCCCTTTAATCCCATTAATCCATTTCTGTATTTAAACCCATTAACAGGTGTTTAAATCCCATTAATGTAATTTCTGCGCTGACAACACAACCAAAGCTGCTCCTTTTTGGGAGCTTCTGTACCTGGAGAGTGTCCTCACAGACAGATTTGATGGGATGTGTGCTAGGAAGGGGGAGATTCACTGCAGGATTTATTCCTGACCTTCCTCGGCACCAGAGTGAGAGCTGGGTGCAATTTATCCTTTATTTCTAATCTGGAGTTGATGCAATTCCTATTTTTTATTTTTTTTTAGCAGGGATGAAGCCTCAGCCTCGGCCTTGATTTGTTCTGACAGGCCCCGGCCGGGCCGCCGAAGGGGCAGCGCTGCCTCCCTCCCCTCGGAAGTAATTAACCCCTCAAAGCCAATTAATCGCCCAGATAAAACAATTAAGGGACGACATCGCGTGCGGTGCTCAGAGCCTGGGCTGCAGCTCGGGAGGAGGGAGGGGAGGGGACCCCACATCTGCACCTCCACAAACCCCACAAAAAAAAAATACCCTGGGAATCTCCCCAGCCTCCAGCAGCACCAATTTACATCTTCTCTTTTATTTTCCCTGCTTTTATTGCGCCACAATTGCTTTTTTTAATTTATTTTTTTTTTTCCCCACACATTTAAATTGCACCGAAATGGAGCAGTTGGAAGATATCATGACCACGTCAGGGCGTGCTGCACATCTGGCTGCACCTCTGGATTCTGGGACTCCCCCCTTCCCCTCATCCCACTGATGCAGGAGCAGCTTCCCCCTCCCGGAGCTTCACACTCTGGGCTTTTATTTATTTATTAAACGCTGGGCTGTATTTTAACCGCGTGGAACTGGCACTTGAGGATAAAATTCCTATTCCCCCTGGGAAAAGGAGCCAACCACCCCTCCCGCATCATTTTCCTGGGAAAAGCTCCTGACATTTAAGAGCCCGCCCGGCTGCCCGGGGGAGGCGGCGCTCAGCCTTTCCATGAGGGTTTGAGAAGCTGGAATCTTTCCTCTTGACTCAGCCTGAGCATCCCTGGGTGGGCACAGCCCGCCCTGCCCTGCTGCGGGGCTCAGGGGACCGTGACCCTCGGATTCCTGCAGGAAAAACCATCTATTTCTGGCAATCTCGCATCCCTGCCTCCCGGTCCTGCTGCAGCGTTCCTCCCTCCAGGGCTGCAGGGGTTTCTCAGCTGTTGCCGCGGCAACGGCGTCTGCACCAAAAACTCCCGCATTTCCCCCAATTCCGGGTGGGGTTTGCGCTCCCTGGACGCTGCGATGATGGAGGGGATGGCGAGTGTGGGTGTGGGATCCCTTTCTGGCAAAGGGAGTGGATGCTCCTTTGGATCTTCCTGAATCCAGGAATTCCTGAATCCCCCGAATCCAGGAATCCCCCAGTATGATGCAAACAGCGCTGGGGGGCTCAGAGAGAAGGAATTCCCCCTCTTCCCAAATTAAATCCCATGAAGCTGTGTTTAAAAAAAAAAAAAAAAAAAACCAAAAACAAACCCCAGAATGGGGAGATGGGCCATAAATCTGAGAGCAGCCATCTCCATCCCTGACAAAACCAACAGGTTTATGTATCAGCTTGGCTATTTCCCCTGAAATTTACAGCTGACAACGTGCCTGAACACAGCAGGGGTAATTTAAACCTGGCTCCAACCTGCCTGGCTCCCAGCAAAGGGAGAGGGGAACACGTTTGGTCCATTTTTTTACCCCTTAATTTTAAATTTCATTCCAACTCGGAATAAAGGCAGTGATTTATGGGAGAGGGAAAGCACAGCTTTATTTTAGGGCCGTGACAGCCAAGTGAAAAAGAGCTGTCATTAAGGATGGTAACACATTCCACAGGAGCAGGGCTCGTTTTATTCCAGGGTAATTTCTCCCAGAAAATGAGACCCAGCCTTGGGTTTGGGGTGGGAGGGTAAATCCAGGGAAGCAGCAGAGGGAATAGGGCAGGTTTGGGATGTGCTGGGTGAGGGGCACTCCTGGCACAGCTCCCATTGGGCTGCAACAACACCCCTGGGGTCTGGGGGTGCTGAACCCCCCAGCACAGGGGGGACCCGGGGCAGGGAGAGGGGGGATGGCTGGGAACGGGAATTGGGAGGTGGAAACTGGGGGTCCCAAGGCTGTGGGCTGGGGGTGAGGATCACAGGGATGTGGGTGGGGGTCCTGGGCTGGAGGTTGGGGTCCCAGGGTTTGGGATAAAGGTCCCGGACAGGGGTTGGTGCTCCAAAGCTGGGGATGGGGGCTCTGGGATGGGGGATTTGTGCCCCATCTCCAAAACCTGCTGTTCTTCTTTACCACAAGCCTTGCCTGACCCTAAAATCCCCACAACTGCCCTAATTGCAGATTTCATGGGATGGTGGTGGTGCTGAATCCAGCTGCATCCCAATTTCACCGATTTCTGCCCCAAAAGGTGCAGCAGATCCCGGCACCATCAGCTCTGGAGCTGCAGCTCCCCCCGCCCCAGCCCTTTCCCTGGATGCTAATTCCAGTTGGTGCACGTTCCCCTGGAGCTGCCCGTGGTCATTAACCTCCTGCTGCCGTTAATCAAGAGGACTTTGTTAATTAACAGCTAAGGATGTCTCCAGCTGAGCGGCGCAGGGGTGGGATTGGGGTCACCTGGATGCATCCAAGGATCCTTGATTTAATATATTGGAGCTTCCCAGCGCTCCGGGGGAGTGCAGCCCCCTCCCCTCCACGAACAAAATATCCAGCACTGCAAAAAACCCGAGGAATGCTGACAGGATCCACCCTCAGCACTCTGGGAGATTCCAGAGCTGCAGCTCCTGCAGTATTTTGGGAATATCAGAGGAATTGGGGCAATACTGAGCTGCATTTCTCTGCCACTCTGCCAAAATGGGGGAAAAAAAAAACCTGGCTGAGGAGGCTGAAGTTTTCTGAGGAATGTTATTTTTTTCCCCTGCTTCTATTTTATAGACATATAAAAATGTGGTTTTTTTAATGCTGCCTGGGTGAGCTGTTTGCTGCCTGTCTCAGTGGGTGACACAGGAACAGAAATCACTGATATTCCTTGGGAAGCTTAATTCAAGGCTAACAGGGTCCGGCAGGAAAAACTCAGTGGATTTTTCCCTTTTCTTCCCAAACCCTGTCAGGATGAGGAGAATCAGGACCAGGAGGGCACAGAGCAGCAGCACTGGTGTCTGGATGGATGTTGGGGTGGAGCACTCGGGTCATGCATGGGGGATCTCCCAAAGCCCACCCAAGCCCCATCCCTCTTTCCACAATGCCAAACTGGACACCAGGGCTCGGGAATACACACAGGGAAGTGACTGCTCAGTGAAAAACCCCGGGATCCTTCCCACTCCACACATCGAGGTATTTGTCTGGAAAACAGAGGTTTTATTAAATAAGCAAACAGCTACAAAGATGCACCCAAATGTTTGGGATACTTGGGATGGCCAAGCTGCCATTACAGGGATGATTTAACCCCAGGGTAAGTACCAAGGCACTGCTTTTTTTTAAGCTGTTTGGAGCAATAACAGATGGGCTTGGAAAAAACAGACACCAGAATTAGTGAGGAGCATCCTGAATCCATTATGAACATCCCAGCACCAGCCTGAGGGGCTGTGGGATGGCATCCAGTCCTTGAGGCTTCATCCCACTGCTCCCACATCCAGGCCTCCTCCAAACCCTGAGCCCAAAAAGCTCCAGAGGCTGCTGGCTCTGGGTACATCCCATTCCCACTGCTCCCTAAACAGATCCTCTGCAAGTTCTGTGTGTCCCTGTGTGTCCATCTGTCCCATTCATCCCATCTGTCCTATCCCACTCCTAATAGGATCCTGGCAACCTTCCAGCAATATTAATTAAATACTGGGGAAAATGAGCAAGAGGAGCCTCCTCCCACCACCAGAGAGGCCCTGCTGCCTCCTCAGGCAATGCATCTTCCACGGGTATGGATCCAACATGGATTTTGGGGGAAAAATCTCTGTGGATTAGGGCTGGGAGTAGCCCTGGGCTTGGCAGTGCTCCCCAGGGAAGTGGGTGCATCCCAACCCCAGGAGACACAGGGACAATCCAGGTGCTGAGTGTCCCATCACACGGAGGAGGTGATGAGATCAAGGTGGAGCAGCGAGGAGTGCCAGGGCAGAGAGGATGCTGGATAATCCATCTGAAATCCTGAAATCCTGAAATCCTGAAATCTGAAATCCTGGCATCCTGAAATCCTAAAAACCTGAAATGCTGAAATCCTGAAATCCCTCTCCTGCCACAGGATTTCAGGATCTGCTGCCTGGAAACAGCTCCCTGCCTTTTCCTGGGAGATGTCTCTCCATTTTATTTTCCATTTTTTGATTTCCAAAGAAAGCTATAAATAAATATTTCGGCCTCTGTGGGCACCTGGGAGCAGATTCTCAACAGCCAAAACCTGCACAAAGCCCCCGAGGGGCCTCCAGAAATATCCCCAGGGCCACTGGGGGCTGCCTAATTCCAGCTCCAGAGATTCCTTGCTGTCCTGGGAGTGACACATAAATGAGGGTGACACCAGGGCTGTGCTGAAGGAGCTCTAATGGAGAAGGAGCTCCAAAATTAACTGGGTGTGAAACTGGATTGAGGTGGTGGCTTGGCCCATCCTTCGCTGCAGAGGTCGGCGTGTGGCAGCAGAGTCTCCCAGGAGATTCCCAGAGTGTCCCAAGATGTGCATGAGGGGACAGCAGGCCCTCCCCAGAAGCTCATTCCCAGCTCATGGGCCTGTTCCTGGTCCCAAACACCCATCTTTTCTGCAGGATGTACCGTCTGGGATGTGCCCGCCAAAAGGAGGGTTAAAAACACGTTTCAAATTGACCTTTCCCTCTTTCTTCTCCCAGTTTTCCATGCTGGTGAGCCTGTGGGTTGCCCAGTCCCCACACTGGAAGGTGGCCCTGGGTCTGGATCACTTAGAAGGCATTTGAGACTTCCCAGTTCTTTGAGGTGGGATAATCCAACCCCTCCTAAGGACACTTCCCAAAAAAAGTCACAAACACCTTGTTCTGGTACCAAAATACCTCAGGAATTTACCATGAGGAGCCACACACAGACATGGGACAGAGCAGTGTCACCAGTTTGGCCATGGCACAGGAGATGCCTTCCTTATACCCTGCACCCCACCATGGTGCCTCTGGAAACACCAGGAAAGCCCTTCCCGGGTCAGACAATGCACAGTTTGGATGGGAATGCCCAAAAATATTTTCTTAGCTTGGCGCAAAGGTTTTTGCAATCCCACACAAGATCAAGGGCGGTTGTGTCTTCTCCATACTTTGGGGGTCTCCATCCCCTGCCAGCCCCCAGGCAGCAACACCAGTCAAAAATGGGCTGTAGGACAGTGCTGGACAATGTTTGACCACACCAGGGCTGGTCACCATCACAGTGCCAGCACCAGGGGATTCTGTCCCTCCTGCAGGCCGAGCTTACACAACTGTTGTCTCTTTCTCAGTCATGGAGGAGACCTTGGAGAAGCTCCTGTGCACGATGCTGGAGTGTCCTGTCTCCTCGCTGAGGGCGTTCACCAGCCTGGAGAGGAGGGTCACCTTGAACTTCTTGAAGTCCTGGCCCATGAAGACGTAGAGGACGGGGTTCATGCAGCTGTTGGAGGCTGCCAGAGCCGTGGTGAGCGGGATGAAGATCTCAAACACAGACCAGGGCACCGCGTCGGGCACCGTCTCCAGCAGGTTCAGCAGGTGGTAGGGGCTCCAGCAGAGGAAGAAGGTGACAATGATGGTGACAATGATCTTGAAGGGCTTCTTGGACTTGGCCAGGCGGTTGCGGCGCAGGTTGAAGACGATGGCGACGTAGCAGAAGGTGATGATGGTGATGGGGAGGATGTAGCCGGCCAGGAACCTGGTGATGTTCACGGTGCGGTGCCTGGCCAGAGCCAGCCCTGCGTAGGATTTATTCCTGGAGAGGGAGAAGTTGCTGAAACAAATCACGGAGCTCCGGGTCTGCGCCGTGTCCCGGAAGACGAGCGAGGGGCAGCTCATGACGATGCCCAGGGTCCAGATGACCACACAAACCCCGTAGGCCAGGTTGGTGGAGCGGTGGTTCTGCGACCACACCGGGAACACCACGGACACGTAGCGGTCGAAGCTGATGGTGGTGAGCAGCAGGACGCTGGTGTACATGTTGAGGATGAGGAGGAAGGAGTTGAGCTTGCACATGACCGTGCCGAAGATCCAGTGGTAGCTCATGGCCGTGTAGGCGATGTTGATGGGCAGGAAGATGTTGAAGAGGAAGTCGGCCACGGCCAGGTTGAGAAACCAGACGGCGTTCACCGACTTCTTCATCTTCAGGGTGATGATGGCGATGACGAGGCCGTTGCCCAGGATGCCCAGCACGCAGGACACGCTGTAGATGATGACGGACAGGATCCTGGTGATGTCCTTGGGGTCGTGGGCCGGGTCTGCCCACACGCTGCCCGTGTCCTCGTAGGTGTAGTCGGGGTAGTCGCTGTAGTTATTGTTGAGGCCGTCCAGGTAATCGGACAGGTTGGAAAGTGCCATTGTCCGTGGGAGCAGCAGCAGCTGGTCCGTGTGATCCTGGGGAGTTGGGATGCTGGGATCTGCAGCCAGGGATCTTCCCCTGCTGAGCAAACACTTGGTGAGTGAGGAGAGCGGGAGGGACAATGGCCCCCAACACGTGCGGGAACTGGGGACAGGGAGCAAAGGGACAAACACTGGAATGGGGGATCCCATGAGAACCCCGCTGGTCCCGAACAAGATGCTCCCACAGCTCCTCCCTGATTTCCACCCCCATCCGTGAGACATCAGGACGTGATTCAGTCCCTCAGCTCCACCAGGATGTGGCTGCAGCCTCATCCTGCAGAAAACGTTGATTGCCCGCCTACTTCCAGAGGGAAAACCGGGATAATGCTCATTAACAGCTCATCAACAGCTCTGACTTTTCAATCTGCAACATATTATGGCTCTTTTTTTTTTTTTTTTTTTTTTTTTTTGTACTGAATCGGACTGAAAGCCCAAAGGGAAGCCCCCCACACACACCACTGACACCAGGCCCCTCTCACCTCTCTCCTCTCTGTCGGGATGGGGCACAGGTGGCACTTCAGTGTCCCAGGGCACAGCGGCAGCTCCCTCCACACCGGCCTAAGGCGTGAGCTGTAACATTAAAGCCAGGATCAAAGAAGGGCCACTCACCTCCGGATGTGGGGTTAAGGGAGGAAACCCAATCAGAGTGTGGCAACAATTAACCCTGTGCAGCCTCCCTCTGGGCACTGTGCTGGCCTGGGACCCTCCTCGCCTCCAGTCTGGGGAAGGTGGGGTCCTGCCATGATCCCAGCAGCTTTTGGGATAACCCAGGACAGAAATCCCATCCCGTCCTCTCTGTACAAGCACCCAACATGAGCAGCATGCTCAGGTGCACACAAAGAACCAAACAATCAACCACAGGTTACTCATAATTAAATAATAATTAATTCAAAGTATAAATAAGGTGCACATTGTCTGCACGATCTATTTTGTATCCTGCAATCCCACAGGGTTGTTTTCCCGATTCAATTGATGCCCTGTATGTTTAAATATGTTAATTGTGGTAAACCAGCAGCATCACCTGCCAGTGCCAGACTCCAGGCTCCAGAGCCTGGATTGAGGGGGTTCAACCTCTCCCCTATGAGAATCCAGGATATAAAACCCCCTACCTGAGTCAGGGGGGTTAAAACCAAAATCCCCAAAGGCTGACAAGAAGCACAGAGCATCCCACCGGGAAATGTCCTCACAGGAGGGACGTGGGGACGTCCAAGGACCCTCCCTGTTCCCGAGGAATTTCACCCCAAAGGTCCCTGAGCCTCACCCTCCCGCCAGCCCTGCTTTGAAATTCCCATGGTGTTTGTGCTGGGAGCTATTGTTTCTCCCTGGGCTTTTCCTGCTGTTCCTTCCTGCCATTGCTGCTGCAGAGTCCCCAGCCAGGGGTGAAATCCCACCCTGTCACCTCCCCCTGGCCGAGCTCCTGGGCACGATAAGCAGCCAGAACAAACGAGGGTCGAGTGCAAAGTTTGGGAATGAGCTGGAGCTGGGGAGAGGCCTCGTCCCAGGAAAAGCTCGATGGCCACAGAGATGAATTGAAGTCAATGATCCGGTGGAAGGAACAGAATCAGCAGAACTGACTCTCCCAGAGGTGTTAATGGTGATTAACGAGGCATTGCTTTATGGAACAGGGGTTTCAGGTCATCCCCTTCCCAAAGGCAGAGCTCCAGAAAGGTGGGGGAGACCAGAACCCCATATCCATCCCACCCCACCCCATTGCCTCATATCCCATCCCACTTCACTGCCTCCCATTGCACCACACCCCATTGCATCATATCCCAATCCCACCCCATCCCCACCTCCCACCATCCTGAGGAACCCCAAAGCTCCCTGGACTTGCTCCACAGCCACCTTTTCACCTTTTCCACTGCGGTGTCATCCATGGGGCAAGTGAGACACTCCCACCCCTCTCTCTTTTCCCACATTCAGCCCCTGCTCCAGAGGGACAGGAGAAACTCCCACTCCTCCTCCCACTGTGTCCACTTCCATGTTTTTAATGTAAAATCCTCCCTTTAGTATTATTTTTAATTGCTGGGCCTGATGACTTTCAGCTCGTTCCAAAGCTCATTTTATTGGATTATTTATCTGAATTCTCTGTTAATTTTGCCCTGCCAGGTTGGGCAGGGATTGGTCTCTGTTCCCAGAGAGCCGGGGTGAGGATGGCAGAGAGCAATGGGAACACCAGGACTCTGCTTCCCTGTGGGATTTGGCAGAGGATGATGGGGTTGTTTCCAGGGCTCATGAGGAGCAATCCCAAACTCCACAGGAGAAGCAGGCCAATCCCACCATGAACATTCCAGATGGGCACCAGGAGCCCAGACCTGCGGGAAAATCACCCAGCAAACTCCCACCTGCCTCTCCAAAATTCTCCCAAAAATGGAGAATATCAGGGGCAGCTGCATGAAACCTCCTCATTTCTCACAGCAAAAAAACAAACTCCAAAGTCTGGGAGGAAAGACGAAAAAAAAAAAAAAAAAGCCACATAATACTAAGAGCGTTTCATCGCTCCTCTCCGGGCTGCAAATTCCCTTCTCAAGCCAAAACCACTGTTCTCCCTTCAATCTATTAATCTTTGTCCTCCTACCTCAACAAAAAGGAGCAGAGGATTTACCCAAAATAGCCTTTTCTCCGTCATTCCCGCAGCTGTGTTTGTCTTGGTACCCAGGGAAGGCCGGGTGGGATTCCCGACGGGCGGCTCGAGCACCGGCAGCATCCCGGCACATACCGGGGGAGGATGAGGTCAGGGATGTTGTTCTTGGGAAGGCAACAGGAAACCGAGAGAACGGCAGAAAATGTTCAAATCCAGCTTTTCTGGGCGAAAAAACTCTGCCCTGGCCAAGGCAGACGGGCGGGGGACGGATGTGAGCGGGGAAAGGCGGCGGGATCGGACACGGGGAGGGCAGGGGATGCTCGGGCAGCGGATCCCAGCGGATCCCAGCGGGCAGGGCGGTGCCAGAGCCCCGCTCCAGGAATTCATAGGGATGGGCAGGCTGCCAGCACCGCCTCCTGCCCGCCGGGCCAGGCTTTTAGTGGGGCAGGTTGAGGAGAACTGATAGAACCTAATCAAATCAAATCAAATTAAATTAAATCAAACCAGCAGAGCAGCTTTGGAGTACATCAGATCCTGCCTGAGCTGTCAAAGTGCATCACGCTTTGATGGATATCATGAAATGAATCCGGGCTGGGACCTGCCAGGGCTGGCCCTGCAGCGCTGGCGAAACTGGGGGAGCCCTCGGGTCGGTGTTTGTCCCCCCTAAAAAATTCTCGTCCCCGTCACGGGACAAACAAATCCCCCGGGATCAGCCGGGTCCCTGCCCGCCCTGCTGCCGCCTCCTCCCCGGCAGCTGCTCTGCCTTTCCTTCCTTGGAGCACTTCCCTCTCCTCTTCCCACCGAGGTTTCCGAGGTCCCAGCGCACCCCAAACCCCAAACCCGCTTCCTCCGGGCGTGGGAGGCGCGGGCAGCTCCGGCACAGCCCCCGGGAGAGGGGAATTGCCGGCAGATGTTCGGAGCTCAGCTCTGGGAAGGGCTGGGGGTCAAATGGGACCTTCACGTCCCTCTGGAGCTGCTGGGACCGGCCCCCGCCGAGCCCTGCCACAGTCCTGGATGTCCCTGGAGGGCAGGGGTGTCCCTGGGGACATGTGGCAGGTGCTGGTCCCGGTTCTGTGGGGTCAGCTCTGAGGGCTGGATCCCAGCATCCCTGAGAATTCCATGGCATCCCATGCCCCAGGGAAGGTGGATGGAAACCCGGTTCCAAGCTGGCACCGGAGGCCACCCCATCAATCCCCACATACTTCCAGCCCGGGGTTACACAGGAGGGACGTCCCTGCAGGGATCCAGCTCCCAGGAATCTCAGGGAGCAAGGCACCAAATGGCAAAGCAGCTCTGGGTACCCAGCTCCAATCCCCCTTTATTTTAGCAGGTGATTGCCATGGCAACAGATGCCACAGGGATGAGGCTGCCCAGCATCCCACTCCCCACTGGGACGCCCGGGATGAAGCCCCCATTCCTGGGCGTAAATCGACCACCACCCCACCAAAAGGGAGCTCAGACCTCCAAACCCTGAGCTCCAGCCTGCCCAAAAGCTGCTCCTGGCTGTGCTCCAGCCTGCCCAAAAGCTGCTCCTGGCTGTGATTCCAGCCCTGCCACCACCCCTGACCCCTGTGTCCCACTCCATCAGGCTGGGAAGGGCACAGGGATGTGGGGTGCCATGGGAGCAGCAGCAGCAGGCTGAGAATGAGCTCCTGCCAGTGAGGATCCAGGCTGGAAATTCTCCCAAACCTCCCCCAACACCTGGAGACCCCCAGAGCCAAGGGAGGAGGCACAGCTAAGGAGGAAACTGAGGCACAGAGGGCAGTGGGAAGCTTAATCCCTACCTGCATCCACTCAGACACATCCCAGTTCTCCATCCTGGATCCGGGACCCCCCTCTCCAGCAGCCTCGGGCATCCCCAGCCTGATCCTCCATCCCTGAGGCTGCACCACGCCCGTGTGAACAGCACAGGAAAAAGGGAATAGCTGGAAAAGGCAGCCTTAAAAAAGCTGCTGTGCCCAGGGTGGGACAGAAAAACATGAGTCAGTGTTTATCTGGGCACAGCCAGCCAGGCCGAGCAGGATAGGATGGGATGGATCCCACAGATCCTTCTGGCCACAGTGTGGGGTCACCCATATAGGGAAAGCGCCCCAATCCTGCCAGAAAAAGGGGTTTAACCTCAAAATTTGGGTCAGGGAAGGCTCCTCCCAGGGTGAAACTCTGGCAGAGGAACCCGGCCTTCCCTGGCACCAAGTGTTGAAAGAGCCACCCCGTTGGTAAAATCCTGGCCTTTTGCTCCATCCCTTCTGTTCTTGGGAAGGTTTGAGGATTAAAGGGGAAAATTTTGGGCGTTTGCACCTACACAGGCAAAGATTTCCTTGAAACAGGGCAGTTTGTACTTCTGAGCTGCCTAAAATGACTTGGCTTCAAAGATAATGAAAGTTCTTTCATCTCCTCTGCTCTCCTCTAATAATCCAAGGTTTTCTCCTGGCGCTTCTCAGGCAATAAAAAGACAATAAAACCTCCCTTTTTCAGAGCATCCTCCCTGCTACATCCCAGCAGAGCAGCGATGCTGTCCCTAACCATGGCTTGGGCTTGGTCAGGGGACAAAACCTTGGGGACATCGCTCTGGATTGGGGGCATACAAAGGGAAAGAAACCCAAGAAAACAGAAACAGGGCTGCAGGAGGGACGTGACCCCTCAGGGGATGTGACATGGCTGGGGACAGCAGGCTCAGCCCCCCCCCGAGTGAGGAAGTCACCCTGGATCCATGGGAGCATCCTCCCAGCTGTGCTCTGTGTCCCCAGCTGAATGCTGATCAGCACAGCGAAGAAAAGCCACCCTGTTCTCCCTGTCCCCAGCCAGGGGACACTGCCACACTGTCAGGGCATGAACCCCCCCCAAATTCACTGCCAGCTCCTCTCCCTTCTGTGCTTTTTCCCACCCTGCAGGCTGCAAAGCCCAGCTTCCAAAAGAGGTTGGGATTTTAGGGAAAATTAGGGGGTTTGGGGTGAAGGACAGTGGGGATCCCAAACCCACTGTATAACAACAGGGCAGCAAAAAACCTCAGCTGGATGCAAATCTCCAGCAAACCCTTCCTCCCAAATCCCTATAAAAAATACAAATTAACAAATATATACAAACCCAGAGGTGTTTACCTGAGCTGGATAAATCCCCAGGGAATTTTCAGCATTTAGAGGTTGGATCAGACACCTCTGCTTCTCCTACGGCCCCGTTAGGGCTGGCATGGGAACCACCCTGGGCTCGTGGCTTTGGCATCCAGCTGGAGCTGACACGGATATTGCCGAGCCTTCTCATCCCGAGGAGAAGCACATGGGATGGGAGGATGAGGAAAATAAATGCAGCCCGTGGAATAAACCAGCTGCTGGCCTCAGCAGAGCTGCAGGGGGAAGGGGGAAGCTCTGGGGGAGGATGTTGGGTTTGCAGAGTTTGGCTGGACACAGAAGGGGATGTGGCAGCAGTGACACGTCCCGTCCACCACGGCTGCCCACAGCGGCTTGGGAATCTCCTGGGAGCCTTTGGGAAGGGTTTGGGTACCCTCAGAGGGTCCCCTCGGGCTCCTCCACCCTGGCTGCCCCTCATTCCTGCTCCCCAGGCACCCCAAATCCATGCCCTGCTCCTAGGAGGCTCCTGGCCTCACACACGCAGGAGAGGAGGGACCCAAAGCCATTCCTGGGGTGCAGGGAGGAAGAGAAGCTGCTCATCAGGTCCTGCCCATCCCACGGTGCATTCCCAGTGAGGAAATCAGCCTGGAATGGTTTGTACCCCCAAAGAGAGGGCCACCAGCCAAGGGCTGTCCCCAACCATCCTGACCTCAACCCTGCGCCTGCCAGGAGCTGGAAATTACCAGAGGTGCAGCTCAGAACCAGCCGAGCCCTGGACACAAATCCCTGCTCTGAGCCGGGACAGCTCATCCAGAGCGAGATAAAAAACACCTGGAGCAAAAGCTGCACCGTGCTGGCCCTTCCAGCAGAGCCCCCACCTGCTCTGTGTCACCAAGATCCACCAGGGGACAAATCCCAGCTCCCTCAGAGCTGGGAAAGCAGCACCCACGTGTGAGCAGGGCACAGGAGGTGATGCCAGCAGGGAGCGGTGGCAGGTGGGAGGGAGCTCGAGGCCCCCAGGTCCCGTGGCGTGGGGACATTGACCCCGTCCCACGCGGAGCAGCTCCCGTGAGAGCCCAGAAAGAGGAATCGGAGGCACTGCCAGCTTTGCACAACTCTGTGTCGCAACATCCCCGAGCTGAATCAGGGCTGAAAAAATGCTGATGTGCCGGTTCGTGGGGCTGCTACGGGGAAAGGAGAAGCCCCAGAAGTGTGAACCGGGCAGGGTTCACTGTGCCAACCCCACTGTGGAACCAGGCTGGGGACTCGTCACCGGCTCCCCGGTGTCCCTTTAATCCCAGGACCCCCGGGATGGGGCGGCAGCTCTGGGATCTTCCGCACTTGTGGCACCTGTGGCGGGTCCCCAGGTGCAGAGGAGCTGCCTCAGGACAGTGGGAAATGCAGCCCAAAATCATAAAAACCATGAGAAACAGGGACCCGACCCAGGACGGATCTGCCCCATCGCTCTGCCACCACATCCCGTCCCTTCTGCGCCCCCGGTGTCCCCGCCGAGTGACATTTCCCGATACCTCGTGCGGTGCCAACGCTGTCCCGCTGCTCCGCGCTGGGCAGGACGAGCTGGGGGCGCCCTGGGTGCCAGCGGGATCCCATTCCCAGGCGGATCCCGGCGTGCCGGGACAGACACAGGCACGGGGCCTCTCCCCGCCGGTTTTAAGGGAGCGGGGAGGGAGTTGCATCCATCACCAAAGGTTTTCTTGGCAGCGCCCGCGATGCTCGGCGAGGCAACAGCTGGGAGAGGGTGTGACGGCGGGAGCTGGGAACGCTGGCCTGGATCACAACCCAGCGTGAGGAAGCAACAAAGCTGCTTCCCGAGGGGCCTCCTTTCCTGTGCCGCCCCCCGGGCCGTCCCACGGAGGGATAACGGAGCCCAGCGCGCCCCGCGGGGATGCTGCTCCAGCCGGGAGCACAACGGGAGGCAGGTGGCTGCCAGCCCCCCCGGCTGTGCTGTCCCCACCCTGGGTCAACCGCTGTCCTCCGCTCCCCCCACCGCCCCCAACTCCTTCCAAGACGTTGAGTCACTTCCCCTTCAGGCAAAATCTGGCTCCCAAACGCCGCTCCTGCTGCTCAGGGGCTGCTTTTCCCGATGGATTTCATTACCACCAGGATGCTGCAGCTGCCTCCAGGCAGCCCCCCCAGCCCGCTGAGGCTCTGTGGTGGCAGCTCTGTCACCCCCCAGGCCCTCTGACACCTGCAAGAAAAGTTCTTTGGGGGCCACAGAGGGGCTGGGAGAGGCTCCAGGGTCTCCTGGGTGGGAGGGATGGGAAAGGCCGGATGCAGGGATGGAGCTCAGGGGGATAAACAAGAGGTTTTTGGGGCAGACCCCCAGATTGGGAGCACTGAGCAGCACAGCCCCCACCCACACAGAGCAGGAGGTTTGGATAACCCCGGGCTTGATGTGGCACTGGGAAAATTCCTTCCCTCCCCACGCAGATCCCGCGCTCCCAAGCCTCAGGCATCCCAGTCCCAGCAGCCATCCCAGTCCCAGCAGCCATCCCAGTCCCAGCAGCCATCCCAGTCCCAATCCCAGCAGCCATCCCAGTCCCAGAATCCATCCCAGTCCCAATCCCAACATCCATCCCAGTCCCAGCAGCCATCCCAGTCCCAATCCCAACATCCATCCCAGTCCCAGCATCCTTCCCAGTGGGATAAGAGCCAGTGCAGGGGCTGGGAGCAAAGGCAGCACAAGGAAACACAACAAAATTTGGCAGGGATGCCCCCTCAGCCTCCTGCAGCCTGGAAAAGGAGCAGGATTTGCCCCACTGGGACATCCCAGCACAAGCAACACTGCCCTGAGTTTGTCACCAGCCATTCCCCAGCAGAGAGGAGGTTTGTCTACCACAGGATACTAATTAAGGCTAATTAATTACCCCCAGCTGTAAAGACAGAGCAAAAAACATCCTGAATCCAGCCAGCAAGGGACAAAACCAACCACAAACTGATGGCATTTCCTCTTGTGTGCCTGGAGTCCAACAGTGCCACCAAGAGATGCTCAGCCCAGGCAGCTCCTGGTGGCACCAGCTGGGACCTGGGGGGGATCTTTGGGCTTCCCAAAACCACCCCAGGGCCTGCTGGGGCTGGGAATGCTCGGCCATGGATGCTCCTGCACGTGGCCTTGCCAAGGGCTGAGCTCGGGACACCGAGCAATGACTGAAATCCTGGCAGACCCAAGGGGTCTGGAGCCAAGAGCACAATCCCAGTGTTCCCAGCAAGGCTGAGCTCTGCAGCCCCACGGAACCAACCCCCATCCCTTGGCACTGCCTCCTTTCCCCAGCACCTGCCACTTCCCCACGTCCAGGCAGGATGCAGGATCCTGGTCTCATCCCTGTGTTTGGCAAGATGAAAGGAAAACACGCTGACTCGGGCTGTGATTTCCCATCCCGAGCCTTTGTGGGTTGGGGTTTCCCTGCGGGGCTCAGCAAAGCCCTGCCGGCAGCAGCGCCCGCGGAAGGACAAATCCCCGTTCCCAGGGCTGGGGATGGAGCAGGATCCGGGCAGGAGCGGCCGTCGGGAACGGCAATTCCAGGCGCAGCCTTTGGCAGTTGTCATGTCCTTGGCAAGCGCCGAGTGCCACCCACACCGAGCGAAGCAATTAAAGCTCTAAATTGATTTGGGCTCATTAAACGCCCTGGAGCAGCTCCCTGACGAGCCGGGATGCGCGGATGGGGTCGGGATGCGCGGATCGAGCCGGGATGCGCGGATGGAACCGGGATGCGCGGATGGGAAGTTCGGGTGGGGTTGGGATGCGCGGATGAGGCCGGGATGAGCGGATGGGGCCGGGATGTGCGGATGGGGCCGGGATGAGCGGATGGGGCCGGGACGCGCGGCCGGAGCCCGGCAGGTCCGATCCGACCCCTCCGGTTCTCGCCCTTCTTCCCTCCCACACAGGCGCTGGGAACCCGCCTGACTCATCCCGAAACAGATGTGGCAGTCAATGGGGAAGAAATTGGAGGAAGTTTGGAAGTTTTCCCTCTCCGGGGGAGCTTTCTCAGGCATCCAGCAGCACTTTCCCTCGCCCCGGGCAGAGCCGTGGGGATAAAGGGGAATGGCTGGAAAAGGAGCTGAGCTCAGCTACGAGGACAAGGCAGGAGGCTCCCACTGCATATCCCAGCTCCAAACCCCGGGCTTTAGAGCTGGGTTCGTGCCCAGGGATAACTGTGCCCTGCCTTTCCCCAGAGAGCTCATCCCTGGCTCCGCACCCGCTGCGGTCCCGAGCTCCGGATCCCGCCACCGCCTCCCGATCCGAGCGCAAACTCCCTGCACAAATAAAGCAGCCACAGACAGGATGTTCAGGAGACGGCTCCCGTTCCCTTTTTTTCGCTGATTTGATACAACCACGGAAAAAAATAAAAACACCCAGTCCCAACCTTGTGCAACTCGAGTTTATAAATAGCCCCAGAAACACAGCGGGGCAGGGACAGGGTGGCCAAACCCCGCTGTGCTCCTAAGGCTGGCACCTTATCCTGCTGCATCCCACCCCTGGGATGGGCAGGGCAGGGATCTCCACCTGGCTCAGCCCCCACACACCCTCACAGAGCCTCTCTTTACCTCCAATCTTGCACAATTTCCCCCATTTTTCCACTTCTCTGAGAGCTGTGCCAGAGCTGGATCTGTGTTCCTAAGGCTGGCTCCATATCCCCCTGCATGCCACCCCTGGGATGGGCAGGTCAGGGATCTCCACCGAGTTCAGACCCCCACACACCCTCACAGAGCCTCTCTTTACCTCCAGTCTTGCCTCATTCCCATTTTTCCACTTCCCTGAGAGCTGTGCCAGGAGCTGGGTGTGAGTGATGCACACCCACAGGCCAGGGGAGAATTCCCAGCTCTCAGCTCCCAAACCCCACCCTTGGCAGAGGAGGATTGATGGGAACATTCCCAGGGCACAGCTGGGCCCTGTTCCATGGATTCCCCCATCTGTGGCATCACCCACCTGCTCCCATCCCCATCCTGCTCCCCAGGAGTGATGGAAGTGCCACATCAGGAGATTTGTCCATGATTTCCAATTCCTGCTGGAGCTGTCAGAGGCCACTGACAGCTCCTGAAGCAGGGATGAGGAATTGCCAGGCATGGGCATTTCATTGTTGCCTTGGAGCCCCTCAGCAGGTGGCAGACAGG